CCCTAGAGTAGGATGTTTTGTTTGAAGACACCCCCAACTTGCTTACTAGGGAAACTGTCAACTTGGCCTCTAAGAAAACTACTAGGACTAGCCTTCAAATCCGGATTCAACTTGGAGTTTGAGTCGGCACCCAACATTTGCAACATGGCTTGACATCGGAATGTGTCCTTGTGTCATTAACCCTGTGTTGCGACATTCCCATGCTACATGTTATAATATGTCTGAATCGTTGGACTGATCATTTATGATGTTAATCCTTCTTAATCTATGATACTATACATCATATCCAACTTGCTTGAGCTCCAGGGTCAAACTTCCGCCCCCTCCTATCTCCATTCCTGATCTTAAGCAGATGCATCGGGCATCTCCGCTCCTTCTAATCTACCATTATTACTTATCTATAATTTAGGGGTTTGGAGATGATTTGGGAATCAAAGCTTGGGGTTTGAGTACAAGAGGGGTGAGATCAATAAATGTGTTTATAAGGTGGGGACTGGTTGACATGTTTATGTGGGGTTTGTAGGAAAGGGGGAAGATTGTAATTATGTAAAGAAAGAGCAAGCCAGATGTTGTCAGAATAAGATGGTTTTTGGGTGAAACGTTGGATCTCGTGGTTTAAATGGGAGGAGTGCTTATTTAGGTGAAACTAGCAAGTAAATAATTTTATATGTTCAAATATACATTATTGAGATGATACATAATGTTTTCATCTCCTGGAGATTGCTGGTAAAGATGAAAAGAGATGTTTGTTGTGCTTGAGAATACACAGGGGTTACATGAGAAATGGTTAATAATTGACGAAGGTATTTTTTTGTATTGCTTTGTTAAGTATCTAGATGGGCAATCTTTTAGAGGTTTCCTTTATTATAAATTTGTCATTTGCTTCACTTGTAGAATTGATTTTATTAGATTTCATGCATTTCATGATACACGTACAGGAATTCATATTTGTAAGTCACTTGTTGCTCATTCAAAAGATTTTTATCATAGCGACTACCAACCAGTCTTCGTATAATTTGATTTACTTAAACATATAAGCATATTGTCCCTTTGGCATCATTATTCCACTTCATTGTTTTGCTAAATCTTTTATGGATATTTTCGTTCAGGACTTGCACTACGGTCTCTTGGTCATTTCGATGTTTCTATGAAAAGGTAATGTTCATACTGCTAGATCTGGATTACTTTATTCTTTAAGCATGATAGATTGTTGTATTCCAACCATCTTCTTCACAAGGCTTGGGATTAGTTTCTATCTTTTCTTGCTTCTCTTCTGCAGGCACTCCTTGAGTATGAAAAGCATAAAATTCGTACCGGTGAGCTCCATGTTCCATTGCTAGCTCTTTCCGGGCCTATGGCAGTTGACAGTCCAGTGAGTTTCTTTCATTTTTGACATTTTGGATATGCTTTATGATATTTAACTCATGGAAAAAGTTGAATGAGGATAAATGTTTCCAGTTTAACCTACATTTGTGCGAACTTCCATATATATATGTATGTATGTGCGTGCGCACAAGCGTACACGCCCATATATATATATGTATATATATACATATATCTATTACACACACACACACACACACACACACACACACACACACACACACACATATACACACACACACACACACACACACAATATATATATATATATATATATATATATATGAGAAATATGGGTATGCTTGGTACCAATTATAAATTTTGTGCTTGGTAGTGAGGTAACATAATCCCTTCCACTCATTCAAATGGGGGATCACATTCACATGGGTTAAGGAGTGTATGTGGATATGTAACCATCTGAATGAGTGGAGGGAATTATGCCACCTCACTACCAAGCATAACTTTTTGTGTTTGGTACCAAACATACCCATTTTTTATGTCAACTTAAGTGGACCATCCACCTACTTTCTTGCCCATTGATGTTGCTTAGGATCATTGAATATAAGAGAGGTTTTTATATATAATTAAGTGGGATAAAAAGTTTGGTGGACAAGGCTTGCTATCCATAAGTTGACATATATAAGCTCATACTCTCTCGTTGCTCTCTAATATATATATATATTAATTATATATGTATAGAGAGAGAGGAAGAGAGTGAGAAGTGAGAGAATCATATATATTTATATATCATATATATATATATATATTATTAGGAGAGAGAGAGAGAGGAGAGAGGAAGAGAGAGAGAGAATGTGTATGCTTGGTACACGGCACAAATTGTGCTTGTAAGTGGTGTGGTCCTATTCCGGCATTCCCATTCCAGTTCCTAGCACTCCCAATGGTGGGGGGCAGTATGGCTACTCACTACCAGCACAAAACTTATGCTTGGTACGGCAGCTACCATTTCTCTTCATATATATATTATATATAATATATTATATTTATATTATATCGTACTCCCTTTAAAAGAGGGAGTTGTGGAAAAATTTTCTAAGGACTATATTACCCCTATTCTCTTTTGATATTACATTTTAATACTAACTAAACTAAACTAATTATCATTGTTAATTAATTACATTATACGTCACTTTAAGTTTGCATAATTTGGTCCTTAGAACTTCCAACGTTATTATAAAACTTTACATCATATTAATTATTAGTAATGTATAATAATATATTACTAGATAATTGCATGTCAATAAAATATTTATGGAAAGAATAGAAAACATAGAATTATCCTAAAATTATACCATGAAACTCATATAGGAAAATTGCAAAGAACATTCTTATTTTTAGATTACAAGACAGAAGGTACAAACATTAATTTTAGAAAACATTAGGGTATTTAAGCGCATCAAGATACGTTATCTAAAATTTAAAAATAAAGTGCAGCAAGATACAAGTGGGGGTATATAAGTATAATTTTGGTAAACTACAAGGTATTTAAGTTCAGTTAAGCCTTGAAAAGATTTGAAACCTTTGTTATATATAAACAATAGTATATGATCCCATTGACAAATAATATTCATCATATAATATGAGGTCAGATGCTTAGCTTATATTTATATAGTAGAGGAGATGTAAAAAAGTTGAAGCATCATATTTTGAATGAGTCTCAAAATTTTGAATTATTTCTTGAATTTATATACTTAGCTTAGAAAATTTTAGAAGATGCTTTTGAAGGACTACTACAAAGTGTTTGACATCATATAAATATTGAAAAACTAAATTCCATGATATCGGATAGCAAAAATCATGGATATGTATGTAAGACTGGGTGTCATATGATATGAGTAAATATTCATACATAACATGGCATTGTAATATGTAATCTAACATATTAATGAATTTTAAACATAAGAATTTGTATCAAAATATATATTTAAGATTTGGGAGAGCCTAGAGTGGAGAGATTTGGGAGAAGAATTGTGGCCTTTGTGGGTTTTGCAGGTTTTGATTTTATTTCCCAAACACGATCCAAATCCCAGCACAATCTAATTAAAAAATGACATGGTTTTTTTGATATCTTCAAAGGGATATATCGGCCATATTTTCAATAACGATCAATTTATCAAAAAATCAACAAAAAAAATATTATCAAGATAAAGTCTTTAACCCGATATATTAGCCGATATAGCAATATATTGGTCGATATTTAATAGAATACATATAAGAGCAAATATGTAAATGTTATTTAGATGTTAGTTCCTTGATTTTAAATATCCAATGATTCTATGTTATTCCCATAATTTTAGGGGCTAATATTAAATTATTAAAATTTTGAGGGACAAATTATAAATAAGTCATATTTAAAAGAAGTATTGATTTTTAAAAAAAAACCCTCTCAACTATGGGGATTGTCTTAAAAAACTCACTCAACTGATTCAATTTGACAAAATCCCCCTCATTATGTGGGGGTATTATAGATAACCCCTCTTAATTTTGGTGTAATTTTAAAAAACATCTCTCAACTATAGCGTATCTCATAAAAACTCCCCTAATCTTTTACACTTCTATCAACAAACTCCCTTAACATAGTTACTTCGATATGTGATTTGGGGAAAAAATATCTTCTTGAAGAAAGCAATTTTAATTAAATAGAAACTCTCAACCGACAATAAAAGGATTACAACCAATTTATAATTTTTTTCCTCTATATCACCTCTTTTATTTGGCAAAAGCTAAGGTAATTCTTTTATGATTGATTGATATTTTGGTCTTTCCAAGTCAAGTACTTGTCACATAATAGATAAAACTTAATGATGTTAGTTTTGAGAGGTTAGGTTTAAGTAAGAAAAGTTCACTGAGGTTAAATCAAAATTTTTTAAATTGAGATAGATTATCTACAAAACTTGGTAGAGATTTACTCAGTCTTAAATAGTTTTGCCAGGGGGTTTGTCATGCCCTCCATAGTTGAGGGGGAGTTTTTTAAAATTAACTCTTAAACAAAAGCACAACTTAATGCACATGTGATATCTATTTTATAAGAGTAAGTTTTTAGCAAGTCTATCACTCAATGAATTGGTTTGGGTTATCTGTCCTTAAATTTTATTATACACATCAACTCTAAAAATCTTTGGCTATAAGAATCTCTAAGAAAAATTTAATATTTATTTGGGATGAGTATATTATCGTTCTGATTCCCCTTGTCTTTCATAATTTGTAATAAATTATTTAACAAAGTAAATTAAGTTGTCATTTTATATTACTCACATTCTTATAAGTTTATGAAGCTCATAGCTTGGATATGACTATTATTGCAGATATTGTATTCTTCTAACTCCTTAAGCTAAATTTTTGAATGTTGTTTGACATTGGAGAGATATTAATTATTTTATTAAAATACAATCAATATGAGTGCATAATATGTACAAATCATTCTCAGACTATATTTTATAATTTTCTGAAATCAGAGAGTAATCGTTTTGACAGATCAATTAGTATTTTGGAAGATGTAAAAAGAGTACAACATCAGATTTTGGAATTGATCACATAATTTATATTTTCTTTCTTGATTGAATTTGCACATTCTAACTTAGAAAATTCTAGAAAATTTTTCTTGAATATCTATAATACTCGATCACCAAATAAACAATAGGTGGAAGTGATTTTATTATAACTGAACAAAATCCTTAATGACTAGATAAAACCTACCACTTTCCCTAATGAACTCAAGAATTTATTTTTTATTAATAATAATAGATTTTTTCCATATTGGTCCCTTACATCATTAATATTTTGAAATTATACATTCAAATTACTATTTAATCTTAAATTATTAATATTTTAAGGTTTTAAACATCACTATTTCTCTAGAAGACAATGTTAAAATCACACACGGAAATATCCAAAAAAATTTAATATATTACAATAATTATAAAGTTTTTACAACCATGTTATAGTAAATAAATAAACTTAAAGTAAATAATTATAATATTTGACCACGTGCAGTGCACGTGCATTCCACCTAGTATATATATATATATATATATATATATATATATATATATATATATATATACAACTATGTTATAGTAAATAAATAAACTTATATGATGAAGCTCCTCTTTAATATGTTGCACTTAAGCGATTTTCTTCATCAATTTGCCTCCACCTCTACGGATATCATCATTATGGTACAATTTCCATCCAACCTCCAATTATGGCACTATATTGCTTGATAAAATATATTCTGCACAACAACACTTGGCAAGAAATTAGCACCAATAATGGGAGTTTGTAAATCATCATCAAAATACGAGACCTAACTAGAGAGAGAGAGAGAGAGAGAGAGAGAAATATGAGTATGTTTGGTACCAAGCATAAGTTTTTGTGCTTGGTAGTGAGGTATCTCATTCTCATCTACTCATTCAAATATGGGACCACATTCACATGGGTTGGGGAGTGGATGAGAATGAGACTTCACTACCAAGCATAAAATTTGTGCTTGGTACCAAGCATACCCATTTTTCTCATATATATGTGTATGTGTGTGTGTGTATCACACAAGTGTAGGTTAAGTTGGAATACATTTATCCCCATTAATTCAAAACAAACACACACACATATATATACCAAGCACAAATTTTTGTGCTTGGTAGTGGGGTGACATATCCTCATCCACTCATTGAAATCGGGACCCACATTCACATGGGTTGGGAAGTGGTTGGGAATTGGAATGAGTGGAGTGGATGTGAATATGACATCTCAGCTACGGCACAAATTTGTGCTGGTTCTTACCGTTTAAGCATACGCATATTTTGTCATATATATATATATTATATATATAATATATAATAAATTTATATACTATATTATATGGAAGGTCACGCCAAGTGTAGGGTTAAACTGGAAAACATTTATTCCCATTAATTCAACACACACACACACAAGCATGTAAGCAGAAGTAAAACTAGTCTGACAGTGGTGTAACTTGTTTCCACACATACATACATATATACGTGTATCTCACACATAGTACATATGTGTGTGTGTAGAGGGAAGAGAGAGTAAAACTCCTATAAACTTAAGTGGATATGAGCACTTGTCCACTAATTTTTTTGTCCCTTCATTATCCTTTGAGATTTGTGCTACACATCAAGGCTATATTTGAGATTTGTAAATTGATTTGTATCACATGCTGGCACAAATCTCAATACAAAATTAATGGATAAAAAAGTTGGTGGACAAAGGCGCTCCCCCCATAATCCAAATTTAAGTTAATACGAGCTTTATTCTCTCTCTCTCTCTCTCTATTATATATATATATTATATATATATAGCAGAGAGAGAGAGTATATATATAATATATATATACTAAGCGAGAGAAGAGAAAAGAAATGGGTTATTGGATTTTTTGAGTACAAGCCACAAAAAAGTTGAGCCCTTTGCGTAGTGAGGCCGGCCCCACATCCCTCTCCACTTATTCAAATGGTGGCATACCCCATGTACTCCTCAACCCATGTGATATGTATTCCCCACATTTGAATGAGTGAAGGGGATGTGCCACCTCACTACCAATCACAAAATTGTGCTTGGTTACCAAGCATACCCATTTTTCTCATTATATATATATAATATATATATATAATATATATATATATATATATATATATTATATAATATATATATATATATCATATTAGAGGAATTATTGGCCTATACTTGGCAATGGATCCTTGTATGATGTGCGAAAACATCTTTGTCCATACATCACACCTTGGAGTTGCGCTGCACGGCTCCATTTTCAAGTGTGATGCTATGGACAAGATGCTGTCGCACATCACTACCAAGCGATCCTTCGGGTACCAAGTATACCCTTTTCTCATTATATAATATATATAATATAATATATTATTATATATATATATATATATATATATTGTGTCTTGATTTGTATCACATGATGGATCAAATCTCAATACAAAATCAATGGATAAAAAAGTTGGTGGACAAATGGCTTCTATCCAATTAAGTTTATAGGAGCTTTACTCTCTCTCTATATATATACACACACACACAAGCATGCAAGCAGAAGTAAAACTAGTCTGACAGTGGTGTAACTTGTTTTCAAGCTTTTAAAGTTGCACAAGTACACAACATTAAACATGTTTATATCCCAAAGGCTTTGTTTGGCAACCTGGTTTATTCCTTGACCAGGCCAGAACTGGTCCAGGTTAGGGGGTGGACAAATTCTGGCTTGGTTTGGGGGCAAAAAATGACCTACGAAAAGCTAGGCCAGAAGTGGCCTAGCTTTTCCCAAACACAAACTAGAGTAGAACTGGGCTAGGTTTGAACCTGGCCCAGTTTTAGTGGATTGCCAAATGGCCCCTTAGTATCTATTCTGGTTTTAAGCATTTAGTGCAATTGACTCTGGAAAATTGGCTAACTTATCTCGCCAAGGTAATCCTCTCAATAAGTTTATTTACAAGATAAATTTTATATACAGATTAGTGCAAATACAGTATCCGTCTCTGGCAGAGCCAAAAGGGGCGCTGCTGAACGAGCCATGCAGGGTTGGCACTCTCAAAGGTTTTTTAGTAATGGTGAAGTTGGCGATGCAATCATCAAGGTCTGTTAATTATTTGCTGATCCTTGTTCATTTCTTGAGTCATACATACTTGCTATCTGCTCTTGTTGAGAAATATGTTCTGATCATCTTTTCCTCGGTTATTCTTTTTTGCTTGGCAGGACAAGACATCCGTTTCACTTCTGAAGCGTGATAAACATCATAAAAACATTGGTATATTTTCTTGTGGTCATGTCCCTTCATGTTGCTGGTTTCTTCGAGCACTAATTCAATTTTGTTATATTTAGGTGCTCTGAAGAAGAAAAAAGGATCAAGCCTGGAACATGCAGTTAAAGTTTCTCATAAGAAACTTCTCAAGAATCAGCTAAGATCCCGCTCGTTTTACTTACTCCCCTCATTTATCTAAGATTAAATGCCAACTGAGCATGTGGATAGACGGTCCATTTTTATGGTAACTGTTTAAAACAATTCCATGACAGTTTGTCAAATTAACAATATAAGATTTTGAAAAACATTGGATACTTCCTAGATTGTCACGAGTTTTGATTGTGCTAGTCATGAATACCTTTAAGCAAACACCTTAATCTGCAGTTGCATTCCAGTCTGCTGGACATGGAATGTAGTTGTTGGGTTTCTAGTTGTGTTAAACTATACTGACAGCTGTACCTCTGAACGAGGACTGTGTAATGTGGCACCTTGTTTAAGATAGAAGAAGCCAATGACAACTGTTGGATTTGCCCCCTTCAGGTCCTTGTGGTTGCTATAAGCCCTATAGCTCAGTTGATTTGCAAGGAGGTGCTGGAGGACCAAACATTTTATGTTTGACACTAAGCTTAATGCTGTTTCCTAGGTTCATAATTACTTTTAGATATCTTTTTACTATATTAATTTTCTCCTCCAAATAAATACAATAAAAAGCTCAAAATTATTACTGGAAAAGAAATGATAATAAGTTAAGTTTCTTGAAGGGCTTTCCCTTTTGGTTAAACTGAAGTAGTTTATATTTATCGAATATTAGGAGATACATTTTCTTTGTAAATGTTCTTGAGACTTGTGATTGCTTTTACATGTGTTAATGCTATGTTGCTGTAGCATGCAGCTTACTTTGTATATTGTTAACTACCTTTCTCTCTCCTAAAAGGCCATGTCAACAAATGGTGACAAAATGATTGTTTGGTTGCAGAGTGGATGCGATGGTTGTTGATGTTGGGCAACCTGCTGACTGGGTAAAAATAAATGTTAAAAGAACTGTAAGTTCCTATCATGTCATCTTATCTGGCTTGTTTGGATTCTCATACTTTGGTGACAGAAAAATGAAGTTGCATGGTTTTCACTATCATGATTGCACTAGCTAATATGGCACTCAGATAATTCATCAGATAATTCATCTTTGGGCAAGCTTTGATTAGTGGATCTGTGCCTTTGTGCAGAAAGATTGCTTTGAAGTTTATGCTTTAGTTCCTGGGCTTCTGCGTGAAGAGGTAATTTATATTATTTGCTAGTTGTTCTTGCACTTGAAATGAATTATATACATGTTCTAGCAGAACTCTTTTATCTTTGAACTATTTAGAAAGATAACAACTGATCACAATTTGGTATTTTGGTACAGGTGGTTCACTAGCTAATATGGCACTCAGATAATTCATCAGATAATTCATCTTTGGGCAAGCTTTGATTAGTGGATCTGTGCCTTTGTGCAGAAAGATTGCTTTGAAGTTTATGCTTTAGTTCCTGGGCTTCTGCGTGAAGAGGTAATTTATATTATTTGCTAGTTGTTCTTGCACTTGAAATGAATTATATACATGTTCTAGCAGAACTCTTTTATCTTTGAACTATTTAGAAAGATAACAACTGATCACAATTTGGTATTTTGGTACAGGTGGTTATTACGATTTGACTAGTTGAAACATTTCTTCCACTTATGGATAGTTGTTTCACATAAAATAGTTAAAACTTTCAAGACACTCTAGAAAGAAATATTTGTAGGTCATAGTAAACCAGAAATGAACGATCCAACTCGATCTTCATTTTTATTAGTCTAATCTTAATGACAGGAGTAATCTGAATAATTTATGATACCTGTTATTTATCGAGTTATTCTAAATGCATTATAGTTATTACCAATAAGTATGAAGCATCAAGCTACGAATTATGAAATACTGAATACACAGTACTGCAGGGTCAGTGATGCTGATAAACTTTATTCTTAGAACCTGTGAATTTATTTTTCAATAATTTGGCTGTTGAATGCGTGTTTTTTGCCCGTGGTGAAGGTACCACGCTTGATGACTTTGACCCTCAAACTTTTGCTTCTGCTTAGTTTTGATCTTAGAAATATTCAAATTAAATGGGCTTGCTCTTGTGCGAATGTAGGTTCATGTTCAATCAGATCCAGCAGGCCGCTTGATAATATCTGGTGAACCGGAGCAGCCCGACAATCCGTGGGGTGTTACTCCTTTTAAAAAGGTTGGTCTTTAATGTTTGGGTTAATCACAGAAAATTCCACTGAGGTTTGCATGATGGACAAAAGAACCCTCCTTTTCAATTTCTACAAAACTAACTCGGAGGAAAAAATTATGCCACTGAGGTTTGCATGATTGACAAAAGAACCCTCCTTTTCAATTTCTACAAAATTAACTTGGAGGCAAAAATTATGATCATAGAGTATGAGAATTATATGCACTTCCTTGTGCGTGGGTGATTGGGTGGGTAGATGGATGCATGTGTCATTAAAATTTAACGATGACATTCAAAAAGTGATGAATATTTGACTAAAAACTGAAAATGAGGAGGATAAAGTGACACTTCTGTTGGATGTTATTAAATGTTTAGTTATTTAGGTATTTGGGTAAGTGGGCAATATCCATATCTGCTTATGTAACCCTCCTAATCTCTACTTAAGAGAGATCATGGTTAGATTGAATTAGAACTTTGCCTCTACTATTTCTCCACGTGGTATCAGTAACCTTGGTTACTGTTCTTGCTCCGGCATCTTCGGTCATGACACTGGTCCTCTTTTTGGCTAACCTGCCTAGGGTTTCTTCTGGGCTCGATATGGGTTGGTAAGACTTATTCCTATGTCGAGGGTCTTCTACTACTGATCTGGCTGTCTACTATTGATCGAAAAAGCATGAATTTTCTTTTGATCTCTTCTTGACTTTACTCTGACTTGCCTTGTACTTGTGAGATCTCTCTGGTTCTTTGCCTACTTTAGGTGAAGCAAAGAAATAAATGACTATATTCAACTACTTCACGCACCAAAGTTTTTTTTAAAAAACCTGTTTACTTTGTTCTGTGTAACAAGCTGGGCATCTTTGAGATATACCCCCAGCTTGAGGAGTGTTGTATGTTATTAAATGTTTAGTTATTTAGGTATTTGGGTAACTGGACAATTATCCATATCCGCTTATCTCCTTATGTAACCCTCCTGGTCTCTTACTCTATTTAAGAGAGTTTAGGGTTAGATGGAACTAGAGCTTTGCCCTTTCTATTTCCATACAACTTCTATAATCTTCTGTTTTTTATCCGTTAAATAAGTATCTGTTGGTACAATTTTCTAACATAATAATGTAACTTTTGCAGGTTGTTACCTTGCCCTCACGGATTGACCCGCATCAGACATCAGCAGTAGTTACTCTTCATGGTCAGCTGTTTGTACGTGCACCCTTCGAACAGCCTGATCTATAGCACTCTAGGAATTTAGGACCTATATAATGTTGATAGGAGCACAGAAGCCAGTGTATTCTGCTGCAGGTACATGATTGCATCATTGAGATTTTTATTCCTGGTCTATTAAACATGTTCCCTTTAGAACCACTTTCGATTAGTTAGTAAAGGTGTGCTAATTTTAGTCACTGAGGTTCATGGATTCTGGAATTTATTGCAAGTTTCTAAGGAAAAGAAAATGGTTTTTTTAATAGGGTGATGAATAAGTTAAAAAGTACGTTTTTTAAAAATTTTGTCTCGGCTGTAGATAGTTTAAAATTTGAGCTAGAATGGGTTTGTATGTATTTTCAATAGATGGTTCATATCATGATTTGCACTGCAGAATCTCAACCTCTTATTACTTCTTGAAGACTAATTTTTGACATTTGAAAATACTAATATCAAAATTTTGAATTAATTGATTTATATGTGTAATTTAGTTCAGAGTAGATGAGAATTTACCTAGCAAATTTAGTAAGTGGAAATTTCTCTTATCCATTTATTCGAGTTGATTTAGTATGTGTTTAAATTCGATAGGTGCTAAATGTAAAACAGTGACCCCTTTCTTCAGATGTACATTGAAGTTTATTTATGAATTCCTGTGTAACTAATATTATTGTTTAGTGACTAGTCTGACAAATGTGTAGAAAACTCACTTGTTTAAGTGATTTAGTGAAGTTCCAAGTTTTGGTTTGCTTTAGTTCACATAATAGGTTTTAGTATTAGGAAGTATATCATGATCCAGTAGCACTTTTTGAATGATTTCCCTTAAAATGGGTTTTGATTTTGCTCTCCAGGTGTATGTTAACTAATCAGACTCTGGAGGTGGCTTTGTTGCGCTATGGGTTCGTGCAAAAGCTTGTTCTCTCTTTATGTCTGGAAGCTAGCGCTTGATTCGTGCTTCTTGTGTCATTATCAGGACTTCTTTTTCTTAGTTAGGCTGATAAAGAAATCTTCTTGTGGACAGCTGATGATCAGTAGCCTTGTAAAAATGTAGCAGTGACATTCATATTTGAGGATGTTGTTATCTCATTATGACAAGGTGTTAGATAGTTTCATATCTAATTTCAGGTGAATACTGATGTATCTGGGCTTGCTTGTTACGCTGCCTTCGGTGCTTTTGAATTTTAGTTTGATACTAGTTGCGAAGTGCTTGCTGTTGAAGTATATGAAATCGCCGTCTCTTGTTTAAATGACAGCCGTCGTTGTTCCATGGATTCATCAGATTTGCTTCTTTTACGTTTAAGCTGCTGCTTCATTTTGTCTTGAAATTTTTATGAGCAAGGTTATGGATATGACACTCATGCCATTTCCAATCCTTCGGAAATTGGTTTTAAGTATTGAATTGTGTTTGCCCTGTCTGCAGTTACAAAGCTTTTTGTATTGTTTGTGAAGGTCCGAAGGCGGTTTATATGTAAATGGATTATCAAAGCTGGTTTATATGTAAATGTATAATGACTCCAAAATCATGACTATTTTTAAGAAGTGGTTTTTTTAGAAGGAAGAGCAAGCAGTAAAACGTTGGAGAGAAAAATAAATTGTACTACTAACCTTAGTTTCTTCATTTTTTCTGTTCCCAAGGAATTCAAAATAATAAACCGGACAACCAGGTGGAGTGTTCAGTGGCTGTTTGGATCGGTTTTTTGAATCGGTAAAAGGAAGGAAAGCTGTAAAAAATATCAGTTTTTTGGTAACTTTTTTTTAAAATCGTTTCTATACCAAAATCGTTTTTTATAGAGGCGATTTTGGGGGAAAGCCGTCAAAAAACTGACATTTTGGCAGCTTTCCCCTTCCAAAAACCGGAACTAAACAGCCCCTCAGTGGATTTATCTGCAACACTCTTCGAAATTCAGGGTTTTTTTTTGGGGAAAATAACCCAGGTTTCTTTTTACAGGGTCACGAGGCTCACGTCAGCATGTATGTATGGGTCGGGTTTTATACCGGGTCAGGTTGATGTCTCGTAGGCTGTGCCTACCCGACCCACTTGCTTCCCGGAACCAAAAGGGAAAGAAACCCAGACAAACCCTAGATTATTGGTTCGGGGGAGCGAAAGAGGGTGGGAGAAGGGGAAAAAGAAGAAGAAAAAGGTTAGTTTAATTCGAAACCTAAATCAATCTCCCAACAATTACCTGCGTTTCCTTTTAATTTTCATTCGTCTTGATCTCATCTGGTGTTATTCTGCGGTAACCCTAGTTTTGAGTTTTCCCCCCTTCTGCTCGCAAAACCTTCGCGATCTTGACAGGATTTTACCGGGCTTGTGATGGGTTACGGCTTAAATTTGCCATGTTCAATCCTCGTTTTGATATTGCGGTCGTCATTAATTGGATTTCGTGATCGATTTAGTTCTCTTATCGCTTTTATTATTGTTTCCCCCCCTTGAAAGTATGGCTTAATTGAGCAGAATTTAGGGCTTGAAATTGCTATTAATTCAACAATTTGTCAAAAATCTTCATAGGTTTAGAAGTCTGTCCTCGATTAAAACTGAACTCTGGAATCAGTTCTATCCTAAACTTGGAATGTTGACTATTGTTTATTACTTCTTTCTCATCTTTAGTTAGCTCTTCCCTAGTGAGAATTTGTCATTTGAGATGCATTATCTTTTAATTCAAGCACTTGTGGACATTTAGTTGCCCCTTCGATTTTCTTTTTGTTTCAGCTTGAAAATTTACAACTGGGGAAAGAAGAGTTAAACTCATATAACTTTTTCCTAAGGTTTTAAGAGATGTTTTACTGGGGATGCAAGGTTTGTTCTCCTTGTTGCGGTGAAGAGTTAAACTCACATGACTTGTTTGTTTGCGTCAAAAGTTGGTTTCGTTGTGGAATTCATTATATCTTCGGTCGATTACAATAAATTCAAAAGAAATAGTCTTTTTATAAGACTTCTTTTACACAACAAAAGGAAAATTACAACTCTTGAGAAACAAACGCAGGACCGTTGTTTGGATCGCTGCTTGCGTGGGATCTTTGCCTGTGCCGGGAGCGCTTTGACTCGTGGACCACCGAATCACAGATTCTAATTGAACCGTGAGGGGTTTAATGATTCTTCCTTCGTTTATCGAAGTAAGAATTTGAAGCGAATATCTTATCGATGTAAGATGTTCACTCTTTCAAAGATCAAGTCTGAGCTTAGATCTCTAGGACTCGCTAGAAGCTTCTTGAGGATGTTTGTGAAGAAGGAAGACTCTCTCTCTTGCTCTAATTCACCAAAACTCAAGGCTCTCTGCTCTAATCTCTCTGGAAACTGCTCAGCCCCTGTCAATGATGTCCATAGGGGGGTATTTATAGCCTCCTTGGACAATAACTGAAGAAATAGCCGATCAACGACTATCCCTTTGACCGCGACATCCCGGACTGCAGCGGCTATTGGCGCGGCAGCATGAACTGCAGCGGCCACAGGGGCAGTTACCAGCACGTTCCATCGTGCTTGAAACTGTCCTCCCACGACTTTTAACCACCTTTTTCGTGGTTTAACTGCTTGTACACGTCAGCACACGTTCTATTTCTGATACGCCGCCACGTAGACTTCACATAATCATCACATAACTACCTCGTAACCGCTGTAGCATCCCCTATAGTAGCCGCGGCACCATGGATTGCCGCGCCCAAGCCGCGGCACTATGAACTGCCGCGTCTTAGCCGCGGCACTATGAGCTGCCGCGCTGTAGCCGCGGCACCATGAGCTGCCGCGCCCACACGCTGTAGTTTGCATTGTTCTGTGAATTCACATTGTTTTATGTTGATTCACAGATCCTTTTGCTTCCTTTGGGCTTGTATGATCTCCCATGACTTAGATACTGATGTTTATCACCTTCTCTTTGTCTTGAGTGATATTTGGATGTCTGTAAGCATTTTTGACGTCTACAGATACCCCCTCCAAAGTATCACAGACTCATCATTTTGAAGAGGAGTCTGGGACACTTTGGATATGATAAGTTTTCCTTGCAATTTCTTTAGTACTTGGTTGAGGAAATTGCGTAGAACGGTTTGTGAATGGCTTCAATCCTTGACTTCTTCATCTTTTAGCCTATTCAGCGCTTTGTAGAATAGCTAAAATTCCTCCGGTGCTGCGTTTATCGCGTGACCGTTGTCGAAGTCTTGAATTTGAACTGCCGTCGAAGAATAGAGAAATAGTTTATACTCATATGCTCTATTGGAGTGTTCGGGAAATAGTGTAACCTCATATACCCGTTGGGAGGTAATCAGGTTATTCTTAAGAATATTTTGAGTAATATTCTCCAGAAACTTCCTGTTGAGATTAGGGAAATAGTTTAGACTCGTATACCTATTGGAGTATTCTGGTCTCTTGTTTGTTGGTAGAGATGAACCCGATAATGGAGAGGAAGAATTTTATATTCTGTCTCCTGGTCTCTTGTTTGTTGGTAGAGATGAACCCGATGATGGAGAGGAAGAATTTTATATTCTATCTCCTGGTCTCTTGTTTGTTGGTAGAGATGAACCCGATGATGGAGAGGAAGAATTTTATATTCTATCTCCTGGTCTCTTGTTTGTTGGTAGAGATGAACCCGATGATGGAGAGGAAGAATTTTATATTCTATCTCCTGGTCTCTTGTTTGTTGGTAGAGATGAACCCGATGATGGAGAGGAAGAATTTTATATTCTATCTCCTGGTCTCTTGTTTGTTGGTAGAGATGAACCCGATGATGGAGAGGAAGAATTTTATATTCTATCTCCTGGTCTCTTGTTTGTTGGTAGAGATAAACCCAAAATCGGAGAGAAAGAATTTTATATTCTATCTCCTGGAGTAAAGAAACTCAAAGTGGGATCTCCACTTAGAGAATCTGGATTGGTTTGAATAATCCTAACTGTCATAAGGTTTGATTACTCAATTCAAAAGTGGACCCTTCGTTCGCAAAAAATGAATCGAAAGGAGATTTTGGTTGTGGTCCTAACTGTAGTAAGGTTTGACCAAGTGGGAGTTCTGAGAGGTTTGACCAAAGGAGGGTTTGAGAGGGAAGATTGATCCAACGAAGTGATCGAATCTCATCTCAGCAAATGAATATTCGGAAATCACCGTGGGGATGTAGTGTTTAACACTTTGTTTGTAATGATCGGGTTATTCCTAAGAAAATTACATATAGCATTCTTTCGGGAACTTCCGTTACATGAACCATCCACCCCCAGCTTTTTCTTGTGAAACTGAGTTTATCATTATGTTTAGCTATATGATCGGGTTATCCTTAAAAGTACCATGCATGGCATTCTTCAGGAACTTCCCGTGAAAGAAAGGAAATAGTTTAGACTCATATACCTGTTGGAGTATTAAGGAGCAGTTTATACTCGTATACTTTTCGGAGTGAGGGGAAACAGTTTATACTCGTGTACCCAATGGAGTTTTATGGTCGTCTTTACTCGACTTCTTTCGTCGTTATGACGCCGGAGTCAATTAGGGCTTGGATCTTGTTTTTGAGTCCAAAGCAAATCTCAGTGGGATGAAGAACCCTTCTGTGGTACGCACAGTAATTTGGATCCATAATCATTTTAGCACCATCCTGATCTTTAATAGGTGGTAGCTCGATTTTGTCATTAGCGAGGAGGTATTCCAAGATGGCTGGAGCTTCATCATCTTCGAAAGAATATTCCTTTTGAAACCTCGGATCGAGAGTCGCATTCTCAATGATTGCAGATGTCATTGGTTGGCCTCTCTCAGCTTTCTTTCTTTTAAGAAAGTGCTCAGCTTGTTCACCCCGAGATTTTAACTCCTTCCAAGTTGTGGATGGCACGACCCCCAGAGCTTCCAGGACATCGATGGAGAGGTTATTGTGGCATGTTTGCAGGATGAACTCCTCTGTAATAGGATCTCTGCAATTCATCGCCATGTTACGGAAACGCTTGACAAAATTGTCGACTGACTCTCCGTCTTTTTGCTTCTCATCCAAAAGAGTTCCGATTGACACTTCGGTGTCATCATCGAAGAAGTTGCTGAGGAACAAACTTTCCATGTCATCCCAGCAATTGATGCTCCCTGGCTTGAGCCGTCGGTACCAATCGAAGGCGGGCCCACGAAGGGTGCCAACGAATGACCGGATCATTAAGGCCTCGTTTCCAGAGATTATGCCCAAATGAGACTTGAAATAAATCAAGTGTTGAATCGGCGAACTCTTCCCTTCAAACGGTGTGAAGTTAATCAGATTGAATTTGGTCGGGTATGGTATTGAATCCCATTCCCTCGGATAAGGACATGGAATACCCGTC